CTCCTTGTAATTTCTTTGTCCAGAAACCAAGAGTTATCTAGAATCTAAGGGTTACTTGGATCAAAGTCGAAATTCTTGATAATCTTGATTTATGAAAAACATTCATGCAATATTACTTAAGCTTGATTGAGTTTTGTATATAATTTTTTGCCTCTATACAATTTGGTTTGTATTGATTTGGTTAAATTGTGTACAGTGTGATATAATTCTGAAGTGCCTGCTCTCTGTACTTGCAATCTGTATATTCTGTAGTGTCCTTTGTGTGGTGACGCTTGACTGATCTGCATTGCAAGTTATTGGTTGGTGTCTGATTGATCTGCATACAACCATTTCTTTTTCTTTTTTTTGATAAGTGAAGAAACTTTTATATAAAAAAAAGTCCCAGTTTACTAGAAGTATACAAAATGACAAAGGGATCTAAGAGTACAATGGTCCAACAAGTCTACAAGATAGCTGATGGAAAGAAAACCCAAACGCTTAACCCACTCAAAACAATAAATAAAAGAAGCTGTCCTTCAACTCCAGAATGGAGGTCTCAGTATCCTCGAAATGTCGAGCATTTCTTTTGCTCCAAACACACCAAAAAACACAGTGGGGAAACCTCCATACAAAGGAAGTCCTACTACTTCCACTAGGCCCATGCCAACATGAGAGAAGATCAAAAACAGTTCTCAGCATGACCCATTGGACCCCGAACAAAGCAAACACCAAATCCCACAATTCCCTAGCTAGCTTACAGTGCAGAAGAATATGGTCAGAACTCTCCCCACTCTCCCTACATAAACAGCACCAATCTACCAAAATAAGGCCACGTTTGCGAAGGTTATCCATAGCCAAGATCTTCCCCAATGTTGCAGTCCAAGAGAAGAAAGCCACATGATGAGGGACCTTGGATTTCCACACACACTTCCAAGGGAAAGTTCTAGAAGATGGGGAGCTCAAGTAACAATAGCAACCCTTAGCGGTAAAAGCCTTAGAATGCGGAGAACCCCAACTAATCAAATCTTCCCCTCTACCTTGCACCGTAATAGAGTAAAGGAGATCCATAAAAGAAGAGATAGACTCCACTCCCAATCCTACACACTTCGAGTGAAGAGCACATCCCAGTGAAGCATACCATTAATGTGAGACACGAGATCGGCTACTAATGCACTTCTGTCCAGGGCGATAGAGAAAAGCTCTGGATAAGCCTACTTCAATGGCACATCGCCACACCACCTATCATACCAGAATTTCACCCGAGATCCATCCCCCACCAAGTAAAACAAGTGTTTCAAGAATGAAGGTCAGCCTTGGTGAATTGATTTCCATACACTCACCCCATGAGAATCCCTCGCTTCCTTGGTACACCAACCCCCCCAGTAGGTGCCATATTTGGCAGCCACCACTTGTCGCAAACACGCGTTCCACTCCATACCAAAGCGC